TGTGGTGCTGACAGTGAGTGTGGTGCTGACAGTGAGTGTGGTGCAGTGTGTGTGGTGCTGACAGTGAGTGGTGGTGCTGTGGTGACAGTGACAGTGTGGCTGACAGTGAGTGTGTGGTGCTGACAGTGAGTGTGGTGCTGACAGTGAGTGACAGTGAGTGTGGTGCTGGAGGTAGTGTGTGTGGTGCTGACAGTGAGTGTGGTGCTGACAGTGAGTGTGGTGCTGTGAGTGTGGTGCTGACGGTGTGTGGTGCTGACAGTGAGTGTGGTGCTGACAGTGTGTGTGGTGCTGACAATAGTGTGTGTGGTGCTGACAGTGTGTGGTGCTGACAGTGTGTGCTGCTGACAGTGAGTGTGGTGCTGACAGTGGTGTGGTGCTGACAGTGTGTGTGGTGCTGACAGTGTGTGTGTGCTGACTGTGTGTGCAGTTGCTGACAGTGTGTGGTGCTGACAGCGAGTGTGGTGCTGACAGTGAGTGTGGTGCTGACAGTGTGGTGGTGTGTGTGGTGCTGACAGTGAGTGTGGTGCTGACAGTGTGTGTGGTGCTGAGAGTGTGTGTGGTGCTGACAGTGTGTGTGGTGCTGACAGCGAGTGTGCTGACAGTGAGTGTGATGCTGACAGTGTGTGTGGTGCTGACAGTGAGTGTGGTGCTGACAGGGAGTGTGGTGCTGACAGTGAGTGTGGTGCTGACAGTGTGTGTGGTGCTGACAGTGTGTGTGGTGCTGACAGTGAGTGTGGTGCTGACAGCGAGTGTGGTGCTGACAGTGAGTGTGCTGCTGACAGTGTGATGTTGATGCATGTTGTATACCAGACCGACTGAGAACATGGGAACCAGGAGCCTTGTATCACACGCCACAGTTGGAGACCTCTAAACAATATCTGAATATATGATTAGGGAATGTTTCCATTGCATCACCATTGAACTTTTGTGTGACCACGATCACCCCAACCTACATTGAGAGCCATCTCAACAAACCCTTCACATCCCCTCTCATCACCACATAAATCCACATTGACGGCCATCTCAACAAAATGTTCCACCCTGATCTACACTACACCCAAATATAAACCCACATGCACCCTATTTCCAGCAATGACCAAGATAAACAAACATACACCACATTTCCACCAAACCCCAATACTATCCCACAGGTACCCCTATCTCCATCTAAAACACAACTTTAACCAACATCCACCCTGGACAAAGAAACCCAAATGCATCCCAATCTCCACCAAACCTGAATACATATATACACCCTCATATTCACCAAACCCAGATGGAAACTCCCTCCATCCCAATCTCCACCATAACAAACGGTCCCCATCATCCTCAACTCCATCTCAGCATGTCACGTGTGTTAAAAGAAATAATTTCACAGATAAAAAAACATATCTGATGCAGCATGAAATGTCTACTCTTAATTTCATAATACAAGTATATTTTTCTTTTCTTTTTCACCTGTCATGCCAACAATATCATATTCTTTTCAAGTTGTGAGAACAAAAGTCGTGTGGTGAAGAATCCATTCCAGATCCTGCCATCAGGTCAAGCCCATTACTGTAGGAGCAGATGGGCGCATCTCACAGAGCTGATACTGCTGCAGATAGGCCCTTTGTTCCTGCCAATTACATTCTGTTCACGTTATGCAAGAAAAGTGGGAGGTCTACAGACTTGCTCCAGGCTCCTTTCTTTGTATTTACCGTTACCACTGACAACAACCTTCTCCTTATGTTCTGAAAACATTCTCACCTTTTCTTCACATAAAACATGCAAAGGTCATAGGTCACATCACAGGTAGTCCAGCACATTTAGTTTCAGGTAGTTATAGAGTGAAATGCCTCGATTTGGGAGGAAAATAACTTTCAGTACTTGAAATTTATGCCAAGCCAAAATATTTTTACCTTGCCCCATTACTTGTAAGAGTATGTCAGGTGAAACCCACAAATTATAGATTATATTCTTCTTCTGAATAATGGTAGTACTTCACCTGAATTGGCGGGAGTTATGTACATTACCATGTTTTGCTCTGGAGAGTGCCTCCCTTAGCTGTGATGGAATTCGGGTCATGGGTTATGCCAGTGGAACACTCCCACCCTAAATTATCACAAAGTTTGCATATCAATACCTTTCCAATCAAGCCATCGTCTTCCCACCCCAAATCCTACACCCATTCCTAACTACCGGTATCACCTATCTGGCCACTTTTAATCTCTACCTATCCCTATTTAACCAGAGACCATATAATATGGTCTCTGATTTAACCCATTCCCAATTCCCAACCAATTCCCCTGTCTCAACACCACAACCCAGACTATTCATATGGCAAAATTAAGTACCCGCTATAGTTTGATTGTGCAAGAATTCGAACACTGAACATTGAATACATTTTGCTTGTGAGATAACATCAACCCCCCAACCACTGAGTTCAAGTTAAACGCTGGCCCACTGCTAATTCTGCTGGCTACAGGCCAAAGGGCCAGCAATGAAGTCAACCCTTCATACTTGTGTTGGTGTCCTTTGGCAACTACCTCACCAATGACACATCAGCGTGAGTCAATGAAAACACTCAGACCACCTCTGACATTTGTGTTCCACACATAGAAATCCCCTTGGCATGATCAAATTTGATAATGTGAGATATTATGTCTTAAATATCCGAGGACCTTTCCATAAACATCCCCAGTAGACATAAATGGCAGATGAGCACGCCTGTTTGCAGTTGCACATCCTCTCAGGAAATGTCTCCACGAGCCTATCTGAATCCCGACTGTGGGTGAGATTCCACACAACAGCCATGTTTTTGTAGTTTCAATGTAAATTATACACATGCTACATGCCATGGGTTTATGAATGTCATATTTGCAATATTCGTCAGTCCAGGTTATAGATCTTATCTCCAAACGGCTTGTATAAATCTCTAGGTGTCACAAAAACTTTGATTTACAGAGAAAGAGCTGCCATGTTTTGGCTAATGTTGGTAATGTTTTGGGTGTTCATCCAGTCATCCACCATGATGGATCATTTGGGAATACATAAATAAATCTTCTTTGTTTCCTATTACATGTTTTTAATTTGCAAGCCATAGTCACAACATAAACTTTGGAACATCACACAAATATTTCTGTTCTGCTTTAGAGATGTCTCATAAATAATGTATTTGTGTAATTATATTTCATCAGTTACATGACAAATGGACAGCTTCAATTTATTACTGTTTTTGTTTTGTTTGCAAGACCATTGGATGTTTGGTGAACATGTTGTATAAGGCACAACCAGCCTGTACAATCCTGCTGAAAATATATATTTATCACGGAATTATTACTGTGAATTATGTTACATTCCATCTGGATGTCGGAAAGAGGGAACGAAATGCCAAAAACAGTGAGTGAGTGAGTGAGTGAGTTTAACGCCGCACTCGTTAATATTCCAGCTATATGGCACTGGGCCAAAAACAGATCATATATGTTGAATCCTATCTGAACCTATACTGAAATATATATTAGTGGCTGTATTGTAAGTTGGACCCTGGAAGAAATTTGGGGGTCACTTAAGAATCAGTTTGTACGGTTTTAGAATCACCGGATCAGTGATTTCACAGGAAAATCTATTTACAATGCATTTTGAGAGAATTTAATCAAAATGAAAAAGTCAATAAGTAAAAATAAAATGATATGGAAAAAGGAGATGTTGATCTCACTTACACACACGTATCATATTGAAAACTTTTAGAAAAGAAATTGCTTGGTATCAGCCATAAGCCTTCAGTGTTGTCAAAGTCAAATCAAGGGTCAAGAATTTATAACTACATGTATTTATAAAAACATACCAATTGAGCCCCACCATTACCTACAAAAGCCCCACATTTCACCACAGCACTGGTGATAAAAAGTTTTTCTGAAACTGAAATCAAGTAAGCTGCAAAATGGGAAGAGTCTCATGTTCCTATTTTAAACATTTGGGGAGGTTTAATTTCTGGTTTAATTCTGAATATACTCACATCTTCAAATAAAAGATCATAGGTCCTTAATTGTTAACACCCAACTTGTCAGCCGTTCTGCCATCTGTTAGCCGACAGCAGTAAATCGCAACCACATCAAAGTCTACTTGACGCATCCTACCCATAACGTAATGACCTTGGAAGTGACAGGCATCATGTCTGGATGCATGTTTGGGTGTAGTTGGGAATTAAGCTAAATGATGTGTTTTTCTTCCAAACACCATAAGTGTGAATCACAGTCTGCCATCTGTGGTCAATGGTGTGAGCACATATTGGTTGGCATGGCAACATAACACAAAGCCAACAATACAGTAACATCCATATCCTCAATTATCATTGCAAGCTTGCAACTGTAAATAAGTAAGGGTCTTGTAAACTATTATTTCAAACAACTTGAAAACATCTATCCTCGATTTAATGAAATGTCATCTACAATGGTTTCTGAAATATAACAGTACTTTTCACCTTGTTCAAATGGTAAAACAAGGGCCATAACTCAGTCAAACATTAAGTTTCAAAGAAAGTTTTCTAATTAGATCAACATATTTATCCCTTATTAATATATATAGTACATAATCCTTGGATCGATATCGGTTTCTGAAAAAAAGTGTCACACAAGTGAGATGGACAGAAGGACTCTACTTCATGCCAGAGATAACACACAGGGCCATAATATGTCAGATAGTTTTATCCCTCCCTACTTCATGTCTTGCATGAAGGAAACAGATCTCCTTTGGCCAATCAGCAAATGGAAATCAAGGGCAGGTAATTCACAATCAAGGGCAGGTGATTTGCAATCAAGGGCAGGTAATTTGCGATCAAGGGCAGGTAATTTGCAATCACTGGAATGAATCCAGTGGTTAGTGTAGGTTTACTGAAATGCTAGCCCTGGTGATACAGAGGATGGGAGTGTAGATTACAGCTGACCAAAGCACGCCAAGCAATCAGTTCGTCTAAATGACCCACTGACCCTGTGGTTGAAGATACATGACAGTATACTGACCAGGTTTTCACTGATGAGCTTGGATATCACAACATCATTCTGGGGGGGGAACACAACTGGGCCAGAACCTTTGGGTCCTGCAGATTCAGCTTTTCAAATCTATCCATCCAATCAGATTTAGCATCTGGTGAGAAGACAGTGTCAAATAGCAGGCTGATTGGTCGAAAGTCCTGCTCCCTGTCCATGGGAACATCATGGTCGTCCTGTGGACACCGGCAGTTCTTACACACCTTTCTGCAAGAAACATAGTCTAAATCATAAACTGGCATTTGGCATCAAGATAGGATTTTTGTCAGAATTGATAAAGATTAGAAGACAGGACACTCCCATAGAAGATGGTCAGACTACCATTCGATTCAGCCAATTATTGCCAAGGCTTCTAAACCCTGAGTACACGTGAGTGAAGAATTCAGCCAAGCATAGCTTGAAAACAAACGTAAGTAACTAATTTCAAGTGTAAAAAACATATATCCATGCAAGCACATAACACTATTATACTCTGTTGGGGATATTTTATACATAATACATTTCTGAACACAATGACAATTACCGGTACACTTAAAAGGGTGTACAATCAGGGATACTTGAATTCTGTGACATTTTGTGTTTGCAAAAACAGAACTTTCTGAATGGAGGTGATAAGGATTTTAAGCCAAATCATTTTATCAGCTGACACTGATTGGATCAAGAGCTTGTGCATCCTTCATTTAGATTGGGCAGTCAGAGTTAGCTCGGTGCTAGCCTGACATGATCTTCTATGGATCTTCCCACAGAGAGGCAGCCTCAGACATTGATGTTGATGACGAGTTTATACGTAAGTTTAGTGTAAAACTAATTTCATTGTTCAGAGTTTGTAGCCGGTCCTGCTTCAGCAAAACACTTGATTATTATCAGTTTATTCAGTTTAAATTTGTACTGCCAGTACTGTTACAAAGAGTTGTGTGCCTTAGGCATTAACAGGATCCTGATTTTTATGGTATTTTGGGCACCATGATCTCAGGATTTATACCTGCTAAACAGAAGCTGACACACCATGATAAAATTGAAAGCTCTAAACCAAACTCCCTCACTCGCTCTTTTTAAAATTAAATTAATATTGTCAGAAGAACAACCATAAAATAAAATATCAGGGTCACAACTTTGAGTCACAGACCTTCTGACTAAAGAGGTTTAACTCTGTTATGAAGGCTGACAACCTAAGGATGTCATCTGTGGGATGACTCCACACCCTCTACAGCAACGTCGCTTAAAGACAAGTTTAGCTTATATATACTGTTACAGTCAAAAACAGGCCTTCATCTTTCTGTGGATGTTTGTTCCAGGTGTTGCATATAGGAACACCCTAGGACATCCAGCCATGTTATACATCACTGTCAAGCGTACCCATTAATGACTGGAAAACAGGCATCAAGCAGTTAACTTGCTTGTCATTTTTCAGAAAAGAAAATACATAACATAATTTGCTGACTGGCTAAGATGAAATTAGGTTGCTATATCAAAACAAAAAGGGTATTTTAGATCCTTGCCTAAACAAAACACTCTTTTTCCTGCTCAGGCATTTTAATGCAGTGCATATCTGGGGGAAGTATTCCTTAGATTTGAAAAAATGAATATATTTGATAAAACTCCCATTTCATTCTTTAATATGTTCATTCTTTACTCTGCATGAGCCACTCAGCGTGGGTAATTGCCTTTTACTGATGAATATTAATTCAAATATCATAAATCATGTGTCATGAGAGATTCAGAAGCTGGGTGAGTGAACGTAGTCTTACCTCCAATAATGTACCTCCAGTCCTGGACACCCATCGATACACTTGAGACACCGTGGACCTCGAGGAGTGCGTGGGAATTTATTTGTACCCTGAAACATGAGAGAAAAGTTATTAACTCAAGAATAGGGGGCAATTATATCGAAGTGGTTAAAAAGTCAAAATCATATACACATGTTAGATGCTGCTTGCACATGCTCTTGGATGAGTGTGTGACAAATCCTGCACTAACAGTCACGCACAGCGTCATTTCAGGCAGCATGACCATGACATCATGTCAGACACAGCACCAAGCCAGGCAGCATGACCATGACATCACATCAGGCAAAATGACCATGACATCATATCAGGCAGCATGACCATGACATCATGTCAGACAGCATCAAGCCAGGCAGCATGACCATGACATCATGTCAGACACATCAAGCCAGGCAGCATGACCATGACATCATGTCAGACAGCATCAAGCCAGGCAGCATGACCATGACATCAAGTCAAACACAGCATCAAGCCAGGCAACATGACCATGACATCATGCCAGGCACCATGACCATGACATCATGTCAGGTACAGCATCAAGCCAGGCAGCATGACCACGACATCATGCCAGGCACCATGACCATGACATCATGTCAGGCACAGCATCAAGCCAGGCAGCATGTACATGGCATCATGCTAGGCACCATGATCATGACATCATGTCAGACAGCATGACCATTAAATAATGTCAGACAGCATCAAGCCAGGCAGCATGACCATGACATCATGTCAGACACATCATCAAGCCAGGTAGCATGACCATGACATCATGTCAGACACAGCTTCAAGCCAGGCAGCATGACCATGACATCATGTCAGGCACAGCATCAAACCAGGCAGCATGACCATGACATCATGTCAGACAGCATCAAGCCAGGCAGCATCAGCATGACCATGACATCATATCAGGCGGAATGACCATGACATCATGTCAGACACAGCATCAAGCCAGGCAGCATGACCATGACATCATATCAGGCAGCATGACCGTGACATCATATCAGGCAGAATGACCATTGCATCATATCAGGCAGCTTGACCATGACATCATGTCAGGCACAGCATCAAGCCAGGCAGCATGACCGTGACATCATATCAGGCAGAATGACTGTCACATCATATCAGGCAGAATGACCATGACATCATGTCAGATACAGCATCAAGTCAGGCAGAATGACCGTGACATATCAGGCAGCTTGACCATGACATCATGTCAGGCACAGCATCATGCCAGGCAGCATGACCATGACATCATGTCAAAAAGCATCAAGCAAGGCAGCATGACCATGAAATCATGTCAGACACAGTATCAAGCCAGGCAGAATGACAATGACATCATGTCAGGCAGAATGACCATGACATCATGTCAGACACCTTGACCATGACATCATGTCAGACACAGGATCAAATCAGGCAGCATGACCATGACATCATATCAGGCAGAATGACCATGACATCATGTCAGGCAGCTTGACCATGACATGATGTCAGACACAGCATCATGCCAGGCAGCATGACCATGACATCATATCAGGCAGAATGATCATGACATCATATCAGGCAACATGACCATGACATCATGTCAGGCAGCTTGACCATGACATCATGTCAGGCACAGCATCATGCCAGGCAGCATGACCATGACATCATGTCAGACACAGCGACAATCCAGGCTGCATGACCATGACATCATGCCAGGCACCATGATAATGACATCATGTCAGATCGCCCTGACCTCAGTGTACAACCCCCTACAAGAACACCCTGGTCTCGGTATACAACAATGTCCCTTCATCTTCATCTGAGATCACCCTGACCTGTGTCCAACCCCCCACAGGAACACCCTGGTCTCTGTACATGACTAACCCACCGGAGCACACAACATCCCATTAGCACAACCATCACACATATAGGAAACCAGACTCCCTGAATTAGGTCTCATTAACTTATTAAGACAGGGCATGCTCGGAAGTCCTCAGGATGGATTAGATGCCCCTCAGTGCCCACCCACAACTATGTCGCAAGGTTAAGTTCCTATTTAATGTAGTTAGCTGCATTACATTTCATTAATTAGTGCTGAAGTCTTCCTTAAAGATTTCAGTCATGGGTATGAACAGCGAAAGGTACAAATAGGTCCCTATTAAACTCCACTATGATTGTGTGATTGGCATGTATGTCATGTATTGGACCTCATGGGTAAGGCAATCATCATCAGAGTGAGTGAGTCAGTCAGTTGGTGAGTCAGTGATCTGGTGAGTTGGTGAGTGAGTGAGTGATCTGGTGAGCTAGAGTGAGTGAGTTGGTGAGTGAGTGATCTGCTGAGTTGGTGAGTGAGTGCTTTCAGCAATATTCCAGTTGTATCATGCTGGGGGAAACCAGAATTTGACTTCACATACTGTGGATTTGAACCCGGACTCACTGCTAGGCCATCTCACCTACTCCAAGCTGTGACTATATGATGTCTCCATATCCTGGCACTGGAGATTGTTGTATACACTATCGACAACTAGTTAGTCTCATCATATATTACTAAGGCACTATTACCCATCCAACCACGATGATGTTTAAGATGTGGTAGGATGTTTATACTGTATATCGCCACATAAAAGGCAAGATTTTTAATACCAGAATAGAGAGGGCTGAGAAAGGGCCTTATAGTCATACACAGGGTGTTCTCCAGCTGTTTCATTTCCAGGTTCCACTCATGATGTCAAACAGTGTGTGATAACAAGTCCATCACTGATGTTGTTTGACAATAAAACTTCACATTCCATCCCAAATTACTGTACAAAGGACTTTTTAATATATATGCATAATAACCATTGGTATCTGAATAGATTTTGTACAAAATATTTATCCTGTAAATAAAGTCAAAACGAGCCTCAACTCGAATCCAGACTTCCAAGCCTGCTGATAGTAAAAAAATCAATATCAATTAAAAGTGAGCCTGAAGGAACCATCTTAAATTAGCTGTGATGTATTTATTATTACAGGTGTTAAATGCAATGTCAAGTACTGACACCAAGTACTGATTCCTTAACTGTGATACAACTAGGATTGGAATAAAGTTGGTTAAGATTGTTCCTCCTGGAAACATCATTTCAATGGATCCTTAACAAAATTATCATAGCAAATTGTTATAAATAGCACCCTATTGGAAACCATATCTGTAAACATTAAAGTGGAAATCATGACACTTCCTGTTGCAAGGTTTATAAGGAAAAACATAAACCATTCACAGATAATTCATGCATCTATTTTTTGGCAAATATTTATCACAATTTATTCACCATCTGCCAGGTAATTCTGAGAATGTCCTCTTAGATTCACCACTTATCTGGGGACCAGTTTTATCTGAACAAAGAATTACTATCATAATAAACAACATTACTAAACTATCTACAAACAGAACATTATCTGCTCCTGGGCATTTGAAGGTGATTGGCTGTGGTATAAGGGTGGCGTAAGTGTTTTAACTCCAGTGATGCTATCAGCTACCTTCCCCTCATAAAGGGATTATTTCCCAACATCTGGCGACACTTGATACAACGGCCATATCCCCTGGCACTTGGTAGCCCATGACTTCTTTATGTACATGTGCTTGTAAATAAAATAATATCCCTGGTCCTCACCCAACAATTATCTTAGAGGTAATGGTCGATGAGTCTTGCTCCAAGCAATTGTCAGCCGATTGCCTCGAGAGTTGTGACACATGAAAGGTGACGTCTATTGTAACATGTTTCTGATGTTGAACAGCTTGTAAAACCTAAACATTTTGATATGGCATGTAAACCCCAACACTGCACTTACGTTATTGTCAGTTAGGATCCTGTAAACAGAGTGTGTTCTGAAACATTGCTACTAGATTGTAGCTGTGATAGAAGCAGCCCTACAGAACCACAGATGCTAGAGGAGAAGTTGTGTTAAAGACCCATGACAACACCGTCATGCTGGTAGACCCATGACAACACCGTCATGCTGGTAGACCCATGACAACACCGTCATGCTGATAGACCCATGACAACACCGTCATGCTGGTAGACCCATGACAACACCGTCATGCTGATAGACCCATGACAACACCGTCATGCTGGTAGACCCATGACAATAACGTCATGCTGGTAGACCCATGACAATAATGTCATGCTGGTAGACCCATGACAATAACGTCATGCTGGTGCAACTGGAGATAATACTTGGTGATATTTTAGGCGAGTCAGCTATTCATCATTGCTCACATTATTCTATACAGTTTTTAATGAGCATGTTTATGGTGCTTGGCAATCTTTACAATACATCTCAGTTCCCCACACCCAACTTGTAAATTCCTATCTGTTAAGGTCCAAGTAGATGTGTTATGGCAGACTGATAGCAGCATACAGCATCATCACACTTATAACAGAGGTAAATACATAGATTTATAGGTGTGGCAATAACATTTGGCAATTTGATAAAGTTACAGAAGAAATTATTTGACTAGAGACAAAAATTTCGATGGATAATTTTCTTATTGGCAAACAGATCTTTCAGCCCATTTCTAAGGATCCCTTAATGGTTAAAAATAGTTTCTTTAAAAATGCACTTCATGTATTTACCTGTATGGTTGGGTTTTTTCTATCATCTGTTGGTGTTAAGAGGAATCCATACATGAGATGAAGGACCCTTATCACTGTTGCTGCCTTCAGATATAATACTGAATGTTCCTTGTGTAATTAACACTGTCAATCAAAATTCATCCACATGTTCCACTTAGCATCCTTCCTGTACCCATTACACAATTGAGTCAGTGAGTGTTGTACTGGTTTATGCCACTCATTTCAGGGATGGGTATGTACTAGTATTTTTTGGAGAAGATCTCAAAGTGTTCAAGGTCAGTGACATTCACCATTTTTAAGAAACGAGCAAGCAGAAGCGTGGTGCCAGGAAACCAATGACAATAATTGGAGGGAATCTTTACTTCGATCTACCAACCAGTGCACAGAAACATGTGGTGACCAATAGCCTCCCATGACACAAAGGACTGAGATCATTCTGAACCAGCTGAACCAGATTC